CTTTAAAAGGTCTCTTTAATGGTTGATGTAAAGAAATGGTATATGTAATTTAAAGATGTGTTTACACTGCTTTACTGATACAATTAAAGCAGCAGTTTATGTCAACTTACATAATTTAATCTTTACAGCATTTAATCTTCATATTAAATGCTTTAAAGGTGTCACGTGAATACAATCCAGATTTCTCGCTTTATCATGGGTGTTATCTTCGGTATTATTGGCAGTGCCAGTGCTCACTGCAATGTCATGCAATAAAACAAACAAATAAGTTCGACTAATTGTCTGAAACGTCGAAATTATTTTATTTTAATTATTAGCAGTAAACTCAACACAGATATTGCCAAACAAGTAAAAAAGACACAGATAAATGGTGTATATTAATTAACTGTAATTTGTAATTTTAATAAGTGCCTATTATTATTATAAATCATTGACACGCAATGCATGTATATATATAGTAAAACATTGTACATTTGAAAAATACACTGTAAATCTGGGAGTGTTACCACAACACCAAAATCGGTGTAAATTCTTGCAGCTGTGTGGACACCGATTTAGTGTTTACTTACACTCATTTTGGTGTTAAAATACACCTTTCCAGTGTTAAATAGATGCAGCTGTGCCGACACCGATTTGGTGTAAATCTACACTATGAGGGTAAAATAACACCTCCGAAGATCTTTTTACACTGTTTTGGTGTAAATGGGCTTGCAGCTGTGTGGACACCGATTTGGTGTAAATGTACACTACGAGAGTAAAATAACACCTCCAAAGATCTTTTTACACTGTTTTGGTGTAAATGGCCTTGCAGCTGTGTGGACACCGATTTGGTGTAAATCTACACTGCGAGAGTAAAATAACACCTCGGAAGATCTTTTTACACTGTTTTGGTGTAAATCGCCTTGCAGCTGTGTGGACACCGATTTGGTGTAAATCTACACTGCGAGAGTAAAATAACACCTCTGACGATCTTTTTACACTGTTTTGGTGTAAATGGGCTTGCAGCTGTGTGGACACCGATTTGGTGTAAATCTACACTGCGAGAGTAAAATAACACCTCTGACGATCTTTTTACACTGTTTTGGTGTAAATGGGCTTGCAGCTGTGTGGACACCGATTTGGTGTAAATCTACACTGCGAGAGTAAAATAACACCTCTGACGATCTTTTTACACTGTTTTGGTGTAAATGGGCTTGCAGCTGTGTGGACACCGATTTGGTGTAAATCTACACTGCGAGAGTAAAATAACACCTCTGACGATCTTTTTACACTGTTTTGGTGTAAATGGGCTTGCAGCTGTGTGGACACCGATTTGGTGTAAATCTACACTGCGAGAGTAAAATAACACCTCTGACGATCTTTTTACACTGTTTTGGTGTAAATGGGCTTGCAGCTGTGTGGACACCGATTTGGTGTAAATCTACACTGCGAGAGTAAAATAACACCTCTGACGATCTTTTTACACTGTTTTGGTGTAAATGGGCTTGCAGCTGTGTGGACACCGATTTGGTGTAAATCTACACTGCGAGAGTAAAATAACACCTCTGACGATCTTTTTACACTGTTTTGGTGTAAATGGGCTTGCAGCTGTGTGGACACCGATTTGGTGTAAATCTACACTGCGAGAGTAAAATAACACCTCTGACGATCTTTTTACACTGTTTTGGTGTAAATGGGCTTGCAGCTGTGTGGACACCGATTTGGTGTAAATCTACACTGCGAGAGTAAAATAACACCTC